CAAAAAAAAATTGCATAAACTTTGTTTTTCATTTCTCCTGGGTCTTACAGCCGTCCCAAGGGAAATTGAAAACAATGCTTATGCAAAATTTTGCGGGGCAAATAAGGTGCATTGTGGGAGATGTGAAAGTGGCGTATGTTCATACTGTACGGTATACTTCTTCCGACACGAAAACCATACGGGATAGGATAGGACTTCTGTTCACACATGATAACGGTGATTTGGGCGCGATATCTACACCGGATGGAGCCGACCTCTGTCAACCTGACCTTGAAAGGAGATCGTCACATTTGAGATATGTTTATGCCATTTTTCGTCCCAGTGTAAACAGGTATCGAGACCGTAGCGAAAGTAGGAGCGACGGCAAACATAAGATTCTAGTTGACAATTGAGCACAAAAAAACTGTCCAAAATAATTCTTATAGATAAACTTGACGTCGAAACCTCATCTTTTCGTGTACAGATAAGGATCAGTAAACGATAAGTAAAGGGAAATTCTGTCCACGTGGGCTTGCCTTTTGACGTCATATACTCCTGATTACATTTGTCAGAAATGGTTCGTTGAAGTAATGAATTGAAATACCTTTTTACAGACCTTACGGAACTTCGGAGGGGGATAGCGACTGGAAAATCAAATTCAGGTTCACAGGGGGCTTTTCCATCTGAGGGCGGTCTGTTGGGGCGAGGCCGAAACCGAAGAAAGATTTTGTCATTCGGAAAACTCTCGGAATATCCGTATAGCTTGCCGAGTAATATGCCGTAGTATAAGAGATATGAGAAGCTCCGAAAATCTTTTGGTTTCAGACCTCGCACCAGCTAACCGCATAATAGAGAAGTCGTCACTTAACGTTGCCATGGTAGCAAAATTTTTGGATCTCAACAAACCGTGGTCGAACAGATATGACAGAAAAAACGTAAAAAAAAAAAATTGTATGACTTTCCTGTACATGATTGTACTAGGAGCAAAACGGTAGCCCACAATTTCCTTCCATCGTTCGAAAATGCAAATGGCCGTCTCTGTCAAGAAAGAGTGAGATCCAAAAAGTTTGCTACCATGGTAACTTGACGTCGCAATTCTCCTCTCTGTTGAAAATAGCAAATGAACATTTTAAACTGCAAAGTATGCCGCAATGCGAGGCTAAGTGCGAAACCATTGACATGAAAATTATTTTTTATTCTCATGCAAACAAAACTCATTTGCATAAGAAAGGCTTTGCACTTAGCCTCGTTTTGAAAGTGAGAGTCCTTGGAGCTCGGAAGGGCATGGCCAATCGGCCGTCATTTCGGTGAATGAAACTTATTTGTACAAATTGTAAACGCAACTCCGGGATGAAATGTACCAGTTCTTAATTTTGCTTACCATTTGCCCAAACCGTGAACCGACCGGTTTGCACAATCAAAGTCGAAAATATAGGCGCTTTTCGAGGATGCGCCCAAGCAAATATCACTTTTCGACACTTAATTTGTTCTCTTTTATAGTAAGCGACATTACATCGGTCTACCCGGAGCGCAATCTATTAGTCAAATTAATTATGATCTTAGACTTAGTGTGCCCGTGTCAGCAGATGACTGAGATCACTCTTCCACTGATGTAAATAGTATTGAAAACTGGGCGGTAAAAGACCGTATGAAACTAAACCTCAAAAAGACCTGGGAGATGGTGGTACGAGGCAGGATTTCTAAGCCACTTCCACCTTTGGTACAAGGGGCTGAACGGAAAAGCTTAAAAATTATTCGATCTGTTAATTATGCCCCTGTTTTTATACGGGATCGAATTTAGGGTGCTGCCTTTCAAGGCGAATATCTTGATCGTACTGACAAATTTTTTAAACCTGCCCTTAGGTTCGGATATACAAATATCATATATGTAACAACTGAAGTTGTAACTGATGACAAAGCATCCCTTGGTATGATAAGGTAATGGTTCGGTGTATGAAAAACTATTATTACTTAGTCTTCTCTAGAAGAAGCATTTGAGTTTTGCTAGAGCTCGTAGGCAGATGAACACAAACTTTTCCAAAATCGACCATAAGACACGTAAAATTGGACAAATTTACTGTTGGAACTCCATGACTACCGGAGTTATTGTGTAAACATTGATTTGCGTCATCAGTATGGAATTTCTGTCGCTGAGTCGCAGACGTTCCTCCGCGCGAAACGTCTTCAGCGGCGAAGAGCGAGGAGAAACGGATGTTTTCGCAGGCTATTTTTTGACAAAACTTCCTCTTAAGAAGAGGTTAATTAGCTTAAGTTGAATAACAGATAGAATGGTATGTATGGAGAGAAGAACTTGGAGAAAACATTCTGAGTTCCAGATGGGAATTGAAGCCAGGACCTTGCAGACACTACTGGGATGCTTCTTTGGTCCAAGATCGAGAAGGACTGGGAAAACGCCGTACAGGGATTAATTAGGCAAGGATGCTCTAACCACTGAGCTCTAAGAACTCTTGGTATGAGCAAATCATTTGTTAAGATGGTTATTAATTAGAGAATTTTCAGCCATATTAAATATAACAACACTTTATGATGCCTTTGGAACATATTTACATTATAGGTGTATTTTACACAGTGTAACATACTTAAGTTCATTTGAGATTTATAAACTTTTCATTTTACGGGACCAAAATACAATCCATCTTCCTCCGTGACATATGACTAAGTACTAAAGAGGATAAAAAGATTGAGAAACTTGTTGGAAAACTCTCTCATCTAACTTGTCCATGAATCAGTAAATGAAAATAATAAAAATAACCAAAAACATGCTTTTATAGTCTTGGTTCCATGTTAATGAAATTATCTAAACAAGCGAACGAGGAAATTTAAGGATGGTATTGCTCCACTCTTTGAAGGAGTGTCTGGGCGTAACCAGGTGAATAATATCTGTAACAAGCAAACAAAAGTAGATCAGTAAACATGAAGAAAGGATAGTATAGATAACTCTGATGTAAAGTTTCTAGCTTGGGAAAATGACTTCTGAGGAACGGGCGCAGAAATTCCGTACTTATGACGTGTAACTACCCAGATCTGGATAGTGCTTCTGATTGATCGTCGATCGTGCGTGTGGAAAATTTGCTTCAACCAATCAGAAGCAACAAATCATCAGTATGGAATTTCTGTAGCTGTTTCTCAGACCACATTTCGCGGGGAAACTAGTGGTTGCATCGTTAAATGTCGACGGTTTTCTCCGGCTATCAAGTGTCAAGCTACATGCGCTATTTACGTCCTCAAAAAGATGCCAGTTCTGAACGGGCAAATTTACATTCGGGGGAGGTTAATGATTTCTATTTGTAGCAAAATTAAGAAGAAGATTCTGGCAAATTGTCCACCAACTCCTCCCCTAGCACAATGTTAAAAATAACCTCTTACTTAGGAGAGGGGTACCTGGGTACATTCCTAAAATCGTGTCCTAATCTGAAATAGCCATAAAAATTTAATCTGAATAAGTACAGCAAAGCAATTTTCGTGCTCATAAAAACAATTAACGCAGTTGTATAGGCATGGTTTGTAATTATCGAACTTAAACAAAGACATTTACACACTTCAACCGGAAATGGACGTTTTGCACTCTTGGGCAATGCTTTTGCCCAAATTTTTCGGCAAATCGTCCCTATAAGAGTAAAGACAGTTATTAAGATTGGCAATATAAACAAAAGATAACTGAACAGACGTGACACAGCCCCTTTACTTGGTATGTTTACAAGTGTCACCCACCGGACAATCTCTTCAGGATAGCAGTTGTTAACAGCATTGATGTGCTCACTAAGGGTCGTATTTCTCTCAGGATTTATTTCCTGTACTTTCTTAAGTCCTCCACTCGTTACAAATAGTTTCCGTGCCTTAGCATCGTGCGGAAGAACCTTGGCAAACTGTCCAACAACGTGCTTTAAAATGTTGGGCGGGGCGTCGCTTAACAGGGGTTCTAAGGCTGGCAGATGAACGCACTTCTGAAGAATGTTGGTGAGAGCTTTCTTGGACTGAAAGAATAAAGAATATAGCAATGAGGAAAAGATGATCTGAGTGTCTCCGTTGATACAAACTACAAGGCTGAAAAGTCCTACTGTACCAGATTATAGGCGAGCCTGTTTTACCGTTTAAAAAGATCTCCAGATAATGGAAAAAAGGAGAAATGTCCGCAGGATGCAATTTACTTTGCCGTATGTAATTTTGAGTTATTTACGCTTGGTTCGCTGTGCGATGTCTGGACCCGCTTTTCGAAGTGTTCCGAATTCCTAACGTTTAACGTTAATATCCGCATCAACGGAAGTTCATCTTACATCCTCTCTTTTATAGACGCTCTTCACAAATTATTTGGAACAGGCTATTCATTTTCTGGACCACGAATATGGACAAAAACCGCTTTATTCAAATTGGCAGCATTTTACTATTTGAACTTTTGATAACAGTCACTCCCCGAAAGTGATTTTCTACTTCCATTTCGCTTAGGTATGTATTCAACTTGAGTTACACAACAATGATTATTTTGTTAAACGTTCCCAAGCCTTCCACGCCAGTCTAATCTCGAATACCGATGTAATGCTGCACGGAATCGAACAAGCGCGAGAGGAATAAACGCCCACAAAATATCGAGAATTCTTTCCGACTTTATTGGTAAAAACAACCGATTTTCAGCTTGTTTTTAAATTTCAGCAGACGCCTACAGTTACCATTTTTGGATAGCACGCTATAATGGCTCATACCATGATGGCTAAGCCAATCAGAGCTCTAGAACTGCATTATCTAATGATTCAGTCTTTAATAATTGCAAATACAGTGTGACACCGTGACAGTTAAGACCTACTCAACGAAGTGGAACTGACGACTTTAAGTTGTCTTTCTGTTCATTAGATTTTCACGTTACCTTAGTTTGTAAGTCTTCAGAGCTTTCAGTGTTGAGATAGCACTGTAGCAGTGAATTCAAGGCATTGGTGACAGCAACAGCTTTAGCATGTTCAGGAGTGTGTCTTCCAATCTGACCCAGGGCCCACGCAATAGCAGCCTGTTGGCACGTGACAACATGGATTAGATTCTTAATTAGTACATGAATTTAGAATGGTACAATCACAAACTATTGTAAAAACACAACTACAATGTACGGGCACTGTAGAAGGCAAGCTTATGGGATAAAAAAAATAGTACTATTGGAGGGGAAATTGCAACATTCATTTTGTAATATTAGAGCACAAGCTTTCACAAGGGAGATGGCAGTGAAAACTAAAGTGAACTTGTCTGAAACGAGTTCTTAAGGAGCGCATCTAGGCTTGAAAAGGAAATGAAAATTCGTTGTCGTATGTCAACGTCTTCTATAAAGACGTCGGGGTAAGGAATTTCAAAAGATAGCTGCTGGTAGAGGATGACGAAGAAATGTATCCTAAGGTAAAAAAATGATTTCAATTTTTATCATAGTTTTCATACTGATGTCGCCGTCATTCGTAAACACCGTAAAAAGAGACTCGAATACCTTGATATGATCCTCCTCATTCCCACCTAACTCCGTAGTGCGATCCTCTCCGCTTCCCGCAAGAATTGCCGCTAATGCTGTAACAGCCTACAGAAAAAAAAAAATAAAACGATGATACTGTATAATGCTTGTGTGAAATGTTACAATGTCGTTACTCTTTATTGAAAAAGAGAGACAAAAAAGAAATTCTGATGTAACCCACTATTTGATCCTAAAACGAATTGGGAGATTTGTGATATTTTTAATTGCATTTTATAACAACGACAGCGTTTATCAAGTGTACAAATTGAAAGTAAAGTATATCATGAACCCGTTCAGCTTTTCACGCGATGGTAAAAAACTAGTGTTTAACACGTTTCATTGTGAATCCCTCCAATAACCGATTTGAAGAGTTCCCTTGTTAAGTCAAGTCAAGACATCTGAACCAAAACTACTCTTGACTACTAAAATACCTTAATGGCTTAAGGGCTTTCTCTTTCCAATTCGTTTCGAAAAAAAATTGTCTTCAAGGAAACATAAATCTCACGACCCCCCCCTCCCCCGAGGGGATATTCCCTTATATAGCATATACGGGGATGTGCCGCTGGACAGGGTCTGGTTTTTGTCCTCTCTGTCCCAAACTGGGTATATAATTTCGTGTGAATTTGTCAATCCGCTCAATTGAGAAAGCGCGAACATTTTTCCCGCCCCGCCAACTTTTCGCGTGCCTTTTACTTCGCATCTTCCCCACTATCTGAGAGCGTGGAACAGGCTATGTGTATTGCCTGCACAATTGATTTGATTTGCTAGATGAATTTTGTTTGTTCTCCAAGAATACAAAAGCAATGATTATAACGTGAATTTTCTCTGGCGTCCTTTGTCCTAAACAGCCCGTAATAAAATTGAGGGTGTTGTCCTAAACAGGGCATGTATTTTAGGAATTTTTTGTCCCAAAACAGGGTCAGGGTTTCAAACCCTCAGCGGCTCACCTATACCCAAATATTGGTCGAGTACCCCCCCCCCCCCCCCCCCCCCCCCCCCCCCCCCCCCCCCCCACCCCCCCCCCCACCCTCAAAACAAACACCACCAACACCCGCTCACCAGATCGACTCAACAATAAACAACAAAACACAATCAATCCAAAATACAAATACCAAACACACAAAACACATGCTGAAGGCAGGGGTAGGTGAGNATAGCGAGCGATTCTGAGTGAGCCGCAACATATCCCAACATCATGATTCCTGGCAGGCGGACATTTCCTTTTGATTCTCTGATGTAGTCCACAACAGCTCCGACACCTCCAGCGTTAGTAATCAGCAGAGCAAGCTAAATGAAGATAGTTGGAGAGAACAAAGATCATTCATGAGTAATAAACTACCTTTGAAACAGAGCATAACATAACACAGCCACGCGTGTCAAAAACGCCATGCAGGGATGCAAGAAACAGGGGGCACCCAACAAACGAATGTTTCCCAATACGTTAAAAGTATCTCATATAATTTTTTCTATGCTTTAGAAGCCTTTCTTGGTTAATGGGGAGCTGCCCTGAAAACTATTGATCTGTTTGAATGTCTTAGGGGAACTTTGGGTGTTCCGAAAGTTTTAGGTGGCTTTTCCATCTCATCCCAAATTTTTAATCCTGATGGGTATGGTCAAAAGTTCCAGGACATGGTGTAGCCTTATTTTCATTAGAAGATCCTATGGAACCTTTTATTCAACAAAAATTGTAATATCTTGCTGATAAAATGTGAAAAAAAAGTTAGGAGAAAATCCCGATTATCCTAGATGTGTGGAACGGTTATCCAGTCATTTCCAGGCATCTCTTTGCTCCTTCAAAGGGCTACTTCACAGAAAAAAGTCGTTGGGTGCCCCTGAAGAAAAGCAATAGTACAAGACAAACAACAGCTAACATAATTTGAAATGATAGCTTCCATTTTGTTTGTGCTGTGTTACGAGGTCAATTTGACGAAATTCGTATGTCTCAAACATGGTTGTATTTACAATAATCTATCCTAATCAGAGATCTAAATGTTTGTCCTAAAATACAAGTATCAAGTTTAAACCACACTTTATACTGATAGTCTGTCAAAAATATTGATCAACAAATGGCGAAAGAATTTCCGTTTAGCTGTGTAGCACTTTAGAAAATAGAAGTAACAAAGATTTTCATTAAAAAAAAAGAAATCATGAACAAAAGTGCCGTGTTTACGTTATAATTATCCTTTCCAAACGTTTCGGGCCTGGACCTTCATCAGTGGAATTACCAGTTCGTTGAAACCGTTGCAAGATTTATATACACCATAAATTAGAAATAAAAATTAAAGGCTTAGTAGTGCACGCGCGGCTCTGCGCGCGGCCTAGAGGAAACGGAAGTCGGAGTTTAAACCGCGCGGCTGACTGGTGCCAAGTTGAAATATCAGTCGCATTTATAGGCGCTTCCGTTGCGCGTTATCTACAGAGAGCATCATTCCCCGAACCAAAGCGTCGTCGATTGGGTGACCAGCCGTGTTAAAATATTGCTTACCTCAGGTGTATGCTTAGCAATTTCCCTGATCAGTGTTGCCACATTCTTTTTCACATATTCATCAGAGTCTAGTAAAATAAAGATCACAAAATATTTATTACACAGTTTAGTTTGTTTTGATTAGTTTCTCCGCTATAGGTGGTCATTTTTCTACTCAATTTAAAACTACAGGTTTAAGGCTCTAAAATTTTGTTAAATTCTTTATGCAAGATATTTTGCAAAATAAGTGACATTTTTGCCTAAAACCGCCTTAGAAGAACTTTCCAAATGAATAAGGAAGGAATTCAAGCAAACTTAATATCTATGACAAGTATATACCTGTTTAAATAATGATTTAATAAATAAATAAAACAATTTAATATACACCTATTTGTCTCACCTTTCAGAGAACCAAGGACCGCTGGGAATATCTCAGCTTCCACTACCATTTCAGCCAAGTCAACTGAATGTTTAGCAATCTGGCTTAATGCAGAAAATACGTGTCGCTGAAAAAAGGAAATGTGTTCTTTTTAAAAATCCCTGCATCAAGTGGAATTCTGTAAGTGTTCACGGCAAATGCTTATAAAACTTACAAAGGTATCAGAGTATTACATACTTAACACAAAACAATAGATACAGTGCTGCTCGTCACTTTGAGCTCAATTTTTGAGAACTGACTAACGATTATTGAGAATTAAGTCTTATATCGTAAAATTCCGAAAATAAGCCCCAGGGCTTATATTTTTCAAAGGCCCTTTTTGAGGGGCTTATTTTTGGAGGGGCTTATATTCGGAGGGGCTTATGTACGGAGGGAAGTTTGCGTTTCAAAATCGATTTGGCTAGCTTATAGTTGGAAGGGAATTTACCGTTTTTGCTTTGTTTTACTTTGTATTTGAGGGCAATTTTCCAAGTACAAGCCCCCGGGGGCCTTATATTTGGAGGGGCGATTTCACGGAGGGTTTTTTGTGTTACAAGTTTGGGGGGCTTATAATCGGAGGGGCTTATACATGGAGGGGCTTATTTTCGGAATTTTACGGTATGAGACAAAACAAGTGTTTTGAAGACTTGAGTTTTGAGTTGCCACTGGATTGACCCTTTCAGAAACAAACCTGTTACACTCTGATTTTCTACATACTAGTACTACTAATACTAGTAGTACACAATGCAATGAAATGCAATGAAAATTTTTGATGAAACAAAATTTTTCCATGCAAAACAAAGAACTGTAACCATGAATAAAGATTCAGCTGTATGGCCAGGAAAGAGGTATGGTTGTGGAAATCTGGATATAATATGGGCCACATTAAAATAAGGTATAAGTGTAGTTGTACATCAAGTACATGCAAACAAACTAAAATTTTTATATTAATGTAGTTCAGTATTATTATTTTACCTTGAGCTTACAATCATTATTAAGAATCATCTGTGCAAGATGAGCAATGGCACCAGCATCAACAACTGTTTGAGCCAACTGAGAATAAAAAGAGCAAACTTCATATTAAATTTTTGCCTGAAAATTTGGTGATGCCACCTTGCTAGCAGAGCCTTTTTTTTGCTTGCTCGATTCTGGTGTACTTGAGAAAAATTCTGCATCAATCAAGTACATATAAGATCTTTGTTGAGCATACGTGGCATGTTATTACACTGAAGGATACAGTTTTTAACTAATCAGGTTTAGCTATGACCATTGGTTTACAAACAAATGGATGCTCGCACTCAAAAAACCAGTTTGAGAGAGTAAACAAGATTGACTTGTTTGAAGTGATTCAGACAGAGCCTCATTTTTTCCTCCTCACTCAAGAAGACAAAAGGAAGCACTGCTCGCAGGATGCAGTGATCTACACGAGCCAAACAAAATCTTCTTACTTGCAATTACATGTAAATCTAAAAGACAAGTTAAAAAACCCCAGACCAGTTATCAGAATTAAATAAGAATTGTAAGAACTACACTTTAAGGCACTAAATGTTTGGATCAGATTTGCGGCAAGGTCAGTTTGCCTAAAATTGGGGTTAGACAAATTGGTCAAAGAAGTTATAGTCTTAAACATAGAGCCATATACATGAGAAATAGGACACTTATTCCCTTGAGGGTGAATATACCCTAGATTTGGCTGCACATGCAGGGATTTCAATAATAATAATTATTGAAGTAGGCAGCAGGTTTCAAGCCAAACAAAGTCTTCAATACACGGTACTTGCAATTACATGTACATCTAAAAGACAATTTAAAAGACCCCAGACCAGTTATCTGAATTAAGTAAAAATTCTAAGAACTACTCTATAGGGCACTAAATGTTTGGATCAAATTTGCAGCAAGGTCAGTTGCCCTAAAATTGGGGTTAGACAATATATATTGGTCAAAGAAGTTATAGTCTTAATCATCAACAACATGATATTAATTTGAGGAGGACTCGGAAAAAAAATCCGAGTCCCAGATGGGATTTGAACCCACGACCCTCCGTGATCTAGTCGGATGCTCTAACCACTTGAGCTACTGGAGACTCTATGGTGAGCAAGGGCCAATTTGTGGGTCTCGACTGGAACCGCATCACGCGGCTACACAGCCAAGTAATGATAGGCACACAAGAAGTGAAGAACTCACTAACAGCATCGCGCTGTCACCTTAAAGCATATCAAAGATGCGGCCAACCAACCTCCAAAGTGAGTATATTAAAGATGAAACAACAACAACATGATATTAATTTGAGGAGGACTCGGAAAAAAAATCCGAGTCCCAGATGGGATTTGAACCCACGACCCTCCGTCTTAATCATACATGAGAAATAGGACACTTATTCCCTTGAGGGCCAAATTATACGGTGGTATGTAGATTTGCACATGCATTTGTTTGGTCCCTCACATGTGAAGGAAACATGATTGGCCACATAATTACATGTATCCTGCTCTCACCTCTGGTGAATGTTTACAAATGTCACTTAATGCTGATGCAGCAATTCTCTTAAGAGGCATTTCAGGTTCCTGGATACAAAGAACCAGCAGAGGTACTGCTCCGGCATCAACCACTGCTTGAGATAGCACTGAACAGGCAAATAAAAAACTATTAACATCACTAAAATATCAAACAATTATTAGACAACTTAGCAGATCCCTTAGCTTATCATATGCTATTGTTGAAGAGGATGGTTGTTATAATTACACCGAATTCAATAACAAAGTTTTCACCAGGTGGGTTAATTTAACAGGTGTTTGGCGAAAACCACATTTTTGAGATGCAAAGATTAGTTTTTTGGCAACTTTGTTGGGTTTATTGTCAATGGACTGAAGTTTCTTGGAATATTTATGGCCAAAGTTACAGGATCATTAACTTATTAAAATACACAAATTAAACCTTCGGCTTTTGTGTAAACCAGCACTTTCACTGATAAAACTACTGTGACTAAAAAAATATCTGTCTGTCTGTCTGTCTGTCTGTCTATCTAACTACCCATTTCCAGTATTTAAAGTGTTAAACACCAAAGCATGTATTTTAACAAACCTGCATTGTGTCGTGCAATATAACCTAAAGCCCAGGCAGCTGCCTCTTTGACTCCTGGGTCAAATTCCTCTAAACATATCACTAGTGCATCCAAAGCACCACAGTCCACCACAGCCTACACATAATAAACAAGACATATTATTCCTAGTTAGTCACGGTAACAAGATAAATACTGATATCACATTGTACCTAAATAATGCTTTTACAAATGACTTAGATTAACATGGAAATCAAGAACATATTTTATATGACTGAACACTCAGCATGATTGACATTGATATTAAAGTACCTGTGCTAATTGTGGTGAATGCTTTGCTACAGCTCGCAGAACAAATGCTGCTGCCTTCTTGTAAAATCGCTGATGAAAGAAAACAGGTTTCAATCTAAAAATCTGCTTTAATTGTGTAATTAATCAGTTTTTATACTATATAGGTGTTGTTAAGGTGTCTTATAAATAATCTGTGTGATCATTCAAATATTCTTAACATTAACTTAACCACACTGTACCTAGGATCTTCTTCCGTTTATTTTGTATATCCACTATTGATTTTTATCAATTTTAAATACCATTTTAAGGCTGTGCTGCAACAAAAATTGAAGGGAGCCCAGTGGTTGGAACGTGTGAAATCTAGGGTGCCGCATGCAGCTGTATTCTGATTACAATTTGAGAAAATTACTAAGATTCTTGAGATGCCCAGGAGCAAAAGTTTATAGCGGCCAAGAGCCACTGGGTGTTGCTAGACGATAGCATTGTAAAAGGGGAGCTTAAGCAACTACGACAGTGATGGCTATGAAAACATCAATTAAAAAGTGAATTTGCTCTGTCCCAAACTTAATCGCGCTCATTCCATTTTGTTCAATTAGTCAAATGTTGGCAAATTTTTCTGCAGTTGAATTTCAAAGGACTGTGTCAAAGTACAGGAAAAGAAAAAGAAAGTTGTTGTCTTCTATTCATGTCCTCCACAAAATGTGAAATTAGGCATTTTCAAATTGTAGTCACGCAATGACAGCAAAGAAATGGAAAGAAGTGTGATGCACGTGCAAAGTTGTTGTTTTGCTAATCCAATTGTAATGCCTTTTGGCGTTCTTGTTGCCATCACCATCACCATTGCTTGAGCTCCCTATATAATGTAATCTTTTATCCATGCAGCTTGTGACAACAAGACATTGTGGATAGCAATACAAATTTGAAAATCTCCTGTCATGGCTTCTTTGGGTTAATGCATGTTGGGTGAGTTAGATTCATCCCCTTAAATTTATAGTAAATAATACTGCCACATTCATTCCCTGAACTCTGGTTAGGGTTTTAATTTATATTTGTAAAGAAAGCAACGTCTTTATTTTCTTAAACAAATCCAAATACCTGTAATAGTTTTTAACACTAAGATATACACTGTATACTTTATGTGAGGAACGTAACTTAATGCCCTTTTCAAAGCTACTGGTAAGTCAGTATAGTAGAATATACTACATGTATCAGTGTTTTCAAAATCAGCCGTCGGCTTGATTTGCGACGCCTACTTTCCCTTAGGTAAATTATATGACAAATAAAACTTTTGATAAAAAGTGGTAAGTGGTAAGTGTTCACAAAGCTGTTACGAGCAAGCAAACTTGAAATTTTTCTGGAGAATTTCGCCAAAACATCTTGAGTCTGCTTTTAAAATACGTTCTCTGCGTAATACGTTGAGTAAACATTGAGGACGAGTCGAAGACTGGGTCTCAGTTACAGAGAACATTGTAGTTAGCGGTTTCTGAAGCGACTCTATATAAAACGCCACATTTCGTCTCCAAGAACACGGCAAAATGGCAGAAAAGCGACAGCGTGGTTTACGGGAGATGTGGTCCCTGACAGTGACAAACAAGAAAAAGAAAAAGGATGCTGCAGGTAATAATGTGGTTAAAGCGTACCCTAATATTGTGGTTAATAAAGTTACTAAAAGCATCAAAATTTATCAGCATTTTCGATATCTAAAATTTGCTAGTTCTGCGTCTCAAAATGCGGGAAAATGCGTCTCCAAGAGTCTAGAAATTCAAAATTTCCTGGGGGGGCATGCCCCCAGACCCCCCTAGAGAGCAAGGCCCTCCGGGCCTTGCAACTCCTACTCAAATAAACGCAACTCCTACTTCAAAACTGTTGAAAACCCTGTGTATATAAATGAAATAAAGACTGAAACATTACATTTTGCTCTGCTAGAGAGTACACAAGCTGAGGCAGAATGTCTCCCTTCACGACAGCCTCTGCAAGATCTTCGTTATAGTTGGCCAGTCTGCCAAGAGCCAAGGCAGCTGTTTGTTGAATGGCAGGTACAACATCAAGAAGAAGAGGTCTCAACAGAGCCATGGCATCTAAAAACAGGGAAATGTACAAACGCATAGCCTTCAGTTAGTATGGAGGAAGCTACTTTGTACAGACTTATCATCTGTGACATTTTGTGTTCACACATCACACTTCACATGCAACAATAAGTCTACAACTGACATTACAGACTAGGTTATCACTTGCTCGATGTCAATCTTACTATACATCTGATCGAGACAATATTTTGGCTACTAACGATTCAGAAATTCTCTGGACATGTCTCACAAATGTTTCTCACAGTTTAACGAAGTTATTTAAGCAATTTTAAGCTTAAGTTTTTCAAAATTTAATAGGAAGAAGATCAAGTTAAGTACAATAACGCACAACCACAGAATTGCAGAAGAGGCTGAAAAGCGCTTTACGCATATGTTTTCTCGAATGCCTTTTAGAAATTAAAAGACAAGAAACTTTATATCAATAGATCGTACCTGCATTTTGCAGAGTTTCAATATTCTCTGGTCGGCTTGCTAGATCAGCGACAGACTGGACGAAAGTTTGCCTGTCCTTTTGATACTGCTCGAATACTGGTAAAAACAAACGAAATTATCGTGAATTTTCTTGGGGACATGTCAAAGTTAAGCTTCCAGATGTTCAGAACGTACCCTGTATAACCTTTCTTGAACTCATTTTCACTTTTAGATGTTAACTGCGGCCAAATCACAGCGATTTTCCGATGGATGTGTTCTTCCAAAAGCTGTTTCTTCCAGTGTTGCTACGTTACGGGCGAGTTGATCTCATGCGCGGTTATGTTAAGCCGCTGAGAACTGAACAACGGGCGCCAATTTGTTTGTCCCCAGGTTTCTCTCCGCTGAAGCCGCAAATGAGAGCTTTTGGGTTGAACCAGTAACTCGTTTCTGGTTGAACAAGCAAACTAGACCGAAAAAAAAAATAAAAAATAACAAACAAAAAAACCAAACAAAACACTGTCAATTATAAAGCAGAGAGATTCCGCCAGGTGATAAAGTACTGTATTAATCTAATCTAAGAAATGGTGACAAATTTCTATAGTTTGTCATGAAATACCAGTTCTGAAAAATGGTGTGGGGAACCGGGCGACACCTCCACCAAGAATTCCCTGGATTCCTCCCCCCCCCACCGGGTTTCCGCCTCCATATATATAAATTTTAAATAAATGAGTGTTTCTTTTTAAATCTTTTTCCTTAGTGTGAATTTCTTAATCCACCGCGTTCTGTTCTCACGAGCTGTGTGGATGCCTCTCTTGCTGCCTACACACGTAAGAAAGAAATAAGGAATAGAGGCAAGGACGCAAGATCTCTGACGACGACCCGATTTCTCGTAATCACTTTCCCAGTATGCAGCACCGACAACAAGGAGTATTTAGGATAAGATGCGTAACATATGTGCCTTGAAGCGAGCGCCTAAAGGAGTGCTATTTCATTTTATCCGAGGATTAAACTCCCAAATGAAAGTGACAGGGATGCTAGGGTGTTTGGCAAGGAAAGTCACTGTCTTCGCCCATATTCAGGTATCGCCTACGGCTGTGCAAAAAGAAATTTCTAAAAAAATGCAATGACACTGACCATATAGAAATCTAACGTTCAAAAAAGAACACGACTTCCCGCTTATGTTCCTCTTTATCTTAGCTCTTATTTAGATGTCTGTTTCAGTGTGGTCTCAGCTCCTTTAGGGGTCAGTTTAAACTCGAATCGCACCCACATTGGTCTCCCTTAGGGGTTTAATTTTAATTTAATTTCCGACGAGCATTCCCGTCACTCTTATATGGGAGTCCCGCCACGTGGGGCAGTTTTAACTCTTAAAAGAGCTAAAAAGCAGCCTGGAAGGACAGGCAGCGGTTCATGCCCGCCGGGGTTCATGCAGGCTGCTCCTCCTTGGTTTTATGTCTGATATGGTTATGTATTTTATCCGGGGTATCAGATAAAAACTTGAAGCTTGCGGCTATAAGAGTAAACACTAACATTTTTGTAATATTAAACTCCATAGAAATGGGCAAAAAAAAAAAAACTAAAAGGGGTAAACCCCACCGGGAAACCACATTCAGTCCGTCTTGCAAAGATCTCGGGGATTCATATTTAGTGACTCTGATTTGCGTCAAACCTCCATATATGGTACTGAAATATCGGAAATATGGCTTAAAAAGTGTCAAAGGTTAGGACTGTTAGGAAGTCCATGGCTTAGGTCGGTCCAATTGGTTTTGTTTGGCTTCAGCTAGCACCTAGCAAGAAGAGATACATTTGATGAAACAAAATTGCCGGGTGTTGTGCGCATACCATCATCGCTCCGCACGGATTCACGGTAAGCATGGCACTGGGTCAGTTTTAAACACTCGATTTAGAAGAACTGATTACACTAAGAAGAACTTTTTTTTTATCAGTCTTGAAAAGAAACTGATGCACACTTGCGCGCATTTCCGCATTTCCGTTGCAAATATACACTCAGTCAAGCGTTAAAACGCAATCACGAAGCAGGGTAGTGATCCACGTACACGGTACGAGTAGATAGCTACCTAATCTATGCACGGCGGCTATAGAGTCTGTTCTTCAAAGTGACTTCAGCAAATTGTGTTGCGTTGGAATTCTTTAGCACTGTAACTACACTTTAGGTGCCAACAGCTTGCAATTGAAGAGCTAATCGACATGTCTTGATCTTGATCTAAGCTCGAATTGCATTCACTGGCTCTTGTCTTTTCAGGTTTTGATGCAAGAAAGTACTTAATGCATGACACGCGAAACTTAAACAAGAAAATGTGGAAACTGGTGAAAGCTGCTTCTTTTTGTAGCGCTTATTATAAACCTGTAGGGAGGAAATATGAAAATCATGATCACAGATTGACAGCCGAAATTTAATATGCTGCAATAAAACCCTTTTGTAATTTCTTTGTTCTTTGCATTTTCTTTTTTTTTCCGCTTTGATATCAGATCGAATGCTCCGAATCACTCCCACTTTCTGCATTGCAGCAAAGCTTCGGTGTATCTGTAAATCGAACATTTTGATGCATTTACAGGTGTTTTTAACGGAAGAGAAGAGGGTTGTTTCATTTTTTTTCCCGTTCTCACGAGGAGCATGACTCATTTCCCGAACAGAAGATAGCAATCGAGCCTATGTTTACCCTGACTGAATTTTTGTGACATAACTGAGCATGACTTACTGGTTTTTAAAATATTTTCATAACTCTGCAGCAAATGGTGCTTCCACAGTGTTTCAAATACCGTGTGGCACGAAAATTTTGGCGGGTTCTAAGTTTTGCGATTTTTGCGATTTTCCAGCGATCCGCAAAAACAAATTCCCGCAAATAAAAATTCCTGCAAAAATTTTCCCGCAAAAATTTACTCCAGAGTAAATATTCTCTTCTTTAAATCACCAGTCAAAATACAGTACTACGAAATCATATCTGTTCAATTACAACTTGCCTCTTTCGTTCAGAAAACAAAGCGGTATACAGTGAAATACTGACCGCACACCGTATAGCAGTATTATTTGAAATAATTTCAAATAATACTGCTATACGGTGTATTACATAATTATTATGTAATTCTGTTGATACACGTACTCAATTAAAACGAACATGCTATCAATGCTGGGTAGTGGGTACGTATACTTTCCGAAAATCGCAAATATTAATTCCCAGCAAGAAAAACCAATCTGTCCTAATCGCAAAAATTAGTTCCCGCAAAACGCAAAAAATCGCCAATCCGCAAAAATAAATTCCCGAATTCTATTTTAGTAGTCGTGAAACAGCGCTTTTTTAATACCACATGCAGAAATTAATAATCAATGGTAAACAACTTTTTGATATCGATATTGTCAAAACATACATCATTCGATTTTCACCCACTCACTATTACGCAAAGCAAGCAACTGAAAAAAGGTAACCCGTCTGCAAACAAGGCATCTTTATAGGAACAACCCTTAATTTATTCGCACTCCTAAACATACAGACGTATTCGGATTAAAAGGTATAAAAGACTATTATATTATTTGAAGCTGGGAATGCCTGATAAATGCAATTGATAAACGATAAATGAAATTTTTTGCCCATGCCCGGGTCAAAATAATAGCAAATTTCCAAAATCGTCTTAGGCGACCTTTTAGCCAAGCCTATGAAATAAGCCTTTTGTGATACTTTAAATTCATTAATTAATGTATCACATGATGAATGTAAGAAATTATTTTTAATCTAATTGACTAAGAAATAAATCAAATCAAAATCAAATAAATTACTTAAAAAAATAATAAATGGCGGCCTTTTATGAGAAACCTTTCTGCATTACCTGAACTGAGAAGGTGAACGAAAAGAAAAAAAGCAAGTGCGTAACTTGACCAAACCCGAAAACGCTCATGAAAAGTGTATGGTATCCAGGGGTAAGAACCTTAGCGCCCAAAACATGTCATTATAAGGGTATCACTTTTAAGAATTTACTCTTTTTTCAAAGCTTTTCAGCTTCAAAAAAGGCTCAGCTAATTAGCAGAACGCCACCAAGAAATTCTTCAACTGTTCCACAACACTACAAAAATAGAACGTTTATAACTAAGAAATGCGAGGTTCTCGCGTGACTGTAAAAATGCGGCGTAACACTGAAAGTCTCTCAAGCGTTACAGGTCAAGGAATGTCGCAAAGATAGTAGCTCGGGCAATTGCACCTTGAGGAAGTTTATTCAGGCGACGTGGAAGTATGTACATTTCATCACGAAGTACTGCCCGCGTATCATAATCGGTTCGAGGTAAGCATAGGCGGAGGTTTAAGTTGTTCCTGAAGGTAATTTCATTCCAGAAGAATTGTTTGATTCCGTCAATCCCAAAAAGAGAAATACACACTGTCGCATGTCATCGTAGAAGTTCAGTCAAGCATTATTAAACGCAAAAAGGATTGCAGTCTAAACACAGGCAGCACGAATGTCTTTGTACTGTTAGCTGGTGGGATAGCTACCATTGTCTGCAGTCATGAGCATGCATGTTAAGTCTACACAGTGAGTGCAACANGTTCAGTCAAGCATTATTAAACG